TGGAACACAATACTTCACACAAAGTGCCGTAGCAGCATTGATTTAGACATCAGTACTCCTTCCCAACTAGAAAGCCATCTGCTGCTGGTCTTTTTGTCGCTGGAATGGACCTTAGAGATCATCTAGTCCGAAACCCCTGACGTGGGGCAGTCCCACCAGATGACACATCTTAAAGTTCATTTCTGAGTTAATTAGGATTACTGGCTAGCTACATCTGTACTATAAGCAACTCTCACTTCTCAAGTATTTTAATATTTTACTTTTTCTTACAATGTCTGAAATGTACCAAAGCTTATTTACATTTCACACAATTTTTTTCTCAAAACATTTAGTAAAGAAGTAATCTTCAATCTTGTCTCTTAAGAAAATAATGAAAAGGAGGTTTTTAAAGAATGTTTTTGCATGACATGAAAGGGTCTCACAGAATTTCACACAGAATTTCTCACAGAATTGCATTATTTATTGCGTGTCAAATTGGGATTTTGCTAGCTAAAAAGTTAAATTTGGATCAAAGATAAAAGTTTTGCCTGTGGTCTTTAACTTCTCTGGAAGGTTTTACATTGCCAGAGTAGCCTCTATAAAATTCACAGACACCAGATGGCCCCATAGCACTCACTCATCTAACAAACAGATTCCGATTTCCCTGTGGGGAAATAGAGAAGGAGCTGTATAGTTTGATGTTCAATGCTATGGCTGCTTGAAGTTTTAGAAGAACTGCCTTGAATTTGATCAGACCTATATGTCTATGAGTGTGTATATGAAATAGCAGAGCCATAACTGAAGTTCTTTGGATTTCATACATATTTTACTGAGCATTCATGCATGTATACTTCACCCATGCAAACTCAGGAGTTTTCCATATGTTACTAGGTATATGTTGCGCATGTTTTGGGGTTTCTTCTATGTCAGATACTTGCATAGAAAGGAGAATGAAGTTTTGACATATCACAGAGCAGCCCAGTCCTGCAGGGCCCAAAAACTGCTGAGAAGGCTATAGTTTTCAGTGACTCTCCTGAAGTTTTTTGAACTTTTTGCTGTCACTCTGAAGTAAGGTACATTTTAGCCATTTCAAAGCATCTTCCTGTGGTGCCCAAAATCTATTTGGATGGCTTTTGCCTTTGCTCACTTTAATCTCGACACAACTTGCCTACAGGACAGTCCAGTTGGCTTTGTCTATTATAACATCCATTAGTAGCACAGCCAGATTTCACTATGTGAAATATGTAGGACTTTGGGGAAAAAAAATCAAACCCCAGAAAGATTGATAGGCAGCTTCACATGAACTCCTGCACATTTCAGTATGGCTTTGGAATATGCCCTCAGGGTACTCGATCCAGTCTGTATATTTGTAATGGATGACAAACCATTGGCTACCAATGAATTTTGACAGCAATGGCAACAAAGAAAACAGTTCCACTGGATCAAACAAGAGACCTACACAAGCTGCAGAACTAGACTGAGGTGAATTAGATGGGAAGCTTCAGCATGAGTATATTGAGACTCACTCAGGTTTTAGTACTGCAAGCTACAATTTGACCAACCTGAACATCAGGATCTAAAATTATAATCTTGTAATTCCAGAAACATGTATTAACAGTATTGCAAGGGGAATCTGGTCTAACTAAAAGATACCATAAATTGATATCATACCAAGCTCAATTAGACATACTGAAACCAGGATCAGAGTAAAAAAGTCTTGAACGCCAAACAAAGCAATAGATTAGATGCAGCTATTTATCTTTATAATAGTGTGAGATGGAAGCTACTATTTATGTGGTGGTAGAGAGAAAACATAAGCCTTCTGAAATACGTTTTCTTTCCCTCCCCGCAAAAAGAAATCAGAAGATAAAACATGCTCACATAAAAAGGTGCAGTGTATGTTTATTTAAAATAAGTACTCATACAGAAGGACATTGATATCACTTGGAAAATTCAGTCAGATTCTTGTTCCAAGTTTTCTTTCCCTCACAAAAAGTAATACAAACTGAATATTAGACTTGCTATTTGGTATTATAAACATTGCAAAAAGAGTACGTATTTCCATTAGGAGGTACTTTGTTACAGCTTATTCTTGGCTCACATCATGTTACACTTGCAGTTAGCATATGACAATGCAGTTGGAGACCACAATATTCACAGAAGTTGGGCCATGCTCAAGTACGCTATTTTTATAATAAAAACAGACCAAGTCTACCCAGGTGAACCATCTTTAGATTATTGGATAAAGGTTTCAACTGTAAAAGCTTCAGCTTTTTATTTCATTTTGAACCACAAAATTCAGTCTATTGCAAGACATAATAGATCACAAAGACGAAGCCCATCTGCTTCATTTTCTCTGAAGTTACAGTTCAAAAAGGTAGATGCTGAAATTGCCTTACACTGAGATCCAAGAGTCTCACTGTTTAAATTACTACTAAAAATCTTGTAAACAGTTCAGAAGGTATTGTGAATTGACCTCAGCCAGCAGCTAAGGACCTACACAGCTGCTCACTCCCTTTATCTTTCCTCTGTCCCCAGAAAGACGAGAAGAGCAGCAAAAGCAAGAAACCTCACAGGCTGAGATAAAGACAGTTTAATAACTGAAGAAGATATAAAAATAAATCACCCAGTGATGCAAAGGCAATTCCTCACTAACTCCCCCAGACAGATTGATGTCCAGCCAGTCAGCAAACAACCACCTTGGAAGCTGCCCACCCTGCTCCCCTTTCTTTCTCTACCTCTTCCTTCTTTTTATTGCTGTGGTGATGATATATGATATGGAATAGCCATTTGGCCAGTTCAGGTTGGCTGTCCCAGCTGTGTCACTCCCAATCTCCTGCACATCCTTAGCCTACTCACTGTGGGGGCAGAGCAGGAAAAAGAAAGACTTGGCCCTGGCAACAGCCAAAACACTGGTCTGTTATCAACACTGGTTTACCCATAAATCTAAACCACAGCACCATATGGGATGCTATGAAGAAAGTTACCTCCACCTCAGCCAGACCCAGTGCAAAAAGAAACCCCAAGAATTCAGCTATTAACCTGCATGAGATATATCACATGTAACTCACTATTCAGAAGCCCAAAATCAAAAGCAATTCATCTATTGTAAAATGCTGTCAGCATATGAAACCATGTGCCAAATCTATCAAACCTGAGAGCAATCCACTATAGTCAATACTTATCTTAACACTTGTAGTAATGGCTTTGACCAGTGTACTTATAAAACAAGTAAGCCTAAGGCCTTCCCCAAGCACACAACTTCATACATCAGCTTGTGGGACTTGTGTCCACATTATTAAAACTGATCTGTTTTGATCCTACAATTTGGATATTGGAATTTACTGTTTATTCCCAGCAGGTTGTAAGCAGTACTGTACAGTAGATATGCATAAATAGAATCATAAATAAAATTTAGAAGGATTAACAAGGTGCTGAGAAAGGCAGCTCAATGACTGTCACAGTGCATGAGAACCCAGTTTATGATGCTTGCTTACTTTAGTTCCAGGAAATAAACAACCTCATAACAACAGAAATTGAAATTTCCATGCAACTCTTCTCTTGCCCATAAGTAGATTGGGAATTGAGAGCAGAAGTAGTGGCCTGTGGAAGTCAGTAGTGTCTCTTCACAGACCTCCAGAGCTTCTTAGTGTTTGTAGGAATGGCAGTTCATAAAATCCAAAATAATCCAAACAGCACTACTTCCAAAGACAGTAGTTTTTAATCTACCATGACGCTCACTTCTGTTAAGGGTAAAGGTGTTGAGCAGCACATATGTTTAACCCACTGAAAGCCTTCAGGAGTTGAGAGCATAAACAGTGTGCAGCTTTCTGGCACTTTAAGATGTTTAAAGGTAAATACAGTCCCACCATTGCCTCTTCAGGAAACTACTTCTCACCTCTAGAGAGTAATAGAGGAGAGTCAGTAAGAAGGTCTTCATAAACAAAACAAAACAGGCCAATGCAGACTAAGAGTGCCCACAAAAATTAACCTGCAACGCTTAGAAAACTATTCAGCAATTCAGTGGTCCATGTAAAGGCCACTCCTGCGGAGCAGTAAGACTCTGCCAGCACAGGTCAGTACTCACAGCTCAGCATTGCTGCAGCAGGAACTGCTCTGGGGCATCAACCCAGGAGGAGGAGCTGGTGTGGGGCTCCAGCCCAGGGGAAAGTGTCCTCCCAGGAACTCAGGAGTATCTCTACCTGCAGCAAGAGCTTTCAGGAAAGCCTGGGCTCCTGTATAGTCAGACTTGAATGTGGACTAAGCAAGGTTATCTGCCCAGGGTTTTAAAGGTAGTATTGCTCACTGAAGAGTTCTGTTAGGAGTTTGAGAGGCTAAGGCACATGAGCAATCAAGGCCATGATTTTCTATGTCCAACTTAATACAAACTAAGAAAGCTTCACTTCCAAACGAGCTGAAGCCACTTTAAGGCATACAGGAGGCACAGAGAACACTGATAATAGCATCTGTCAAATCTAAACATGACTAGAGATTTCTTTCTCTTTCTAATACATGCAGGTGATCCAAATTTGGGTTCTGGGCAATCATTGAACTAAAAAACATAGCTTTGTTTGAGGTATTAGAAATTTTACAGCTTGTGCACAACCCTATTGCTTGGCACACACCTCAATGCACGTGCCAGAACCACCAGAGTCACACAAGCTCTGCCCTGGGTAGACATTCCTTGGGCAGGCTTCGGTCCCTTAAAATGAGCAGCAGCAAAAGCATCAGCCTTATCTCCCCTTTCCTCTCTCCCACCTTTCCTGCAGCAAGTCAGGGATATTTTCTATTCCCCAGTGCTACACAGTAAGTAAGCTCACTTCTAAATATATCCAAATAGAAGTTTCTAAACCGCAAAATAAGCACAGTGCTTACAGTAAGTTATGCAGCAAAATGTAGGTTATACCTAATATTTCATCTTAAATGTAGTGTTATTTAGGTTTTTTTGCTTGTCCACAGCCTAGCAAATCTAAGAGGCCCATTTGAACAAGAGAGACTTCCACAGAAAGTAACAAATAAGTTTACTTTCTGGGTTTTTTACTCCCTGTCATAACAAAATAGTGGTCATCTTGCCTACTCTTCATAAGAGGATCTTTTAACACACCAGGTGTTCCTTTGTTACATGCCTGCCCCATAGGGAGAGGTTTCTTGGCTGCTGGGGCCAAGCTTTTGTTTGTTTGCAAGTTTTTGGTTGAAGGCTGACCTTTTGTAGAAGGCTGTGATGACTTTTTGGTCACGGCCACTTTGGTTGAAGTTTGAGGAAGTCGTACAACAGACAAGGGTGTGCGTTCAGGGGGTTTGGATAAGGAGGGTCCAACCTGAGGGGGTTTACTGACATGTGGCTCTTTACTGACAGCTGATTTTTTGCTTTGTTTGTTTTTGCTTGCAGGTATCAGTGAAAGTGGTGACTTTGATTCTTTGCTAACTGCAAGGGAAGGTGCAGAAGCAGAGAGCTTTAGGACTGAAGCACTTTTCAAATTTGTTACCAAGTCAGAACCTGTTTGTGGAGCTTTCTGAGGATGCCGAGACCCACCTCCTGAGATCTGAATAGCATTTTCAGGAGGTTTTGCAAGGAGCTGCTGAGAATGTGCAAATTTGGCAACAGCACGCAGATTTGTAACAGGCAGCCGAGCAGCCTTCGGAGCAACTGAATTCACTTTGGTTTTAGTGACAGATACAGGTTTGTATTTAGCAGGGACATGCTTCTGTTTTGAAGCCATTGTTTCAGTTGTCCCAGACAAGTGAGACAGCTGTTTTTCAGTGGATGAAAGGGCAGGATGAAGTGCTGGTGCTGGGGAGCCCCGAGGTGAGGCAAATTTCACGTTGGGAGTATCAGGGGACCGAATACGTTTGCGCAATGTTTCGGAGGGAACAAGTGCTGTTCTTGCTCCTGTACACGATGAACTTTTGCTTACAGGCTGCAAAAGAGCAGAAGCTGGTGAGTTGCATGCAGGAGACCCCAGTTTCTTTGAGGTGCTAGCTAATGGTTTGAAAGGAGACTGCACACCTGTCACTGAAGATCCTTGTAATTTGGACCTGACTGTCAATGACTTGGCTGTAGAAGTTGGGGGCACTGGCACTCTCGGTGATGCCAGGGCAGGGGACTGAGGATGTTTAGATAAAGCCTTCTTGGCATTGGCCCCGTGAGCTAAAACAGGAGCATGGGGTTTTGATGGCTGCTTTTGAAACATATCGACAGCTGACATTGGATTCATAACAGGAGGCTCCTGAATCCTAGCTGGGGAGTTGGGCACACTGTCACTGGTGACCCCTTTCTGAAACGCCAGGATTTTTTGTTCCAGGGTTGCAAACTGAAGCACTCGGCATGGATCATACTTGAGCAGAAAACCTTGAAGAGTGTCCCAGCCTCCACCAACACGTACCATCACATGCTTGCCATGTAGCATCTGGGAATGGAGGGAGAGGGGTTGGGAACAGAAGAGCAAGAGAAATTTCTGGTTTGTTTTATGCAGCATTAGGTCTTCATCTTACATAACCACCCGACTAAAAATAGGACCTCTTTTCTTACAGAAAGACACTTTCAAACAGAGAAATTATGTGATAAACAAGGTTTATGCTTCCCAATTCTTTTATTAGGGAGCTTCTCCTACAGAGACAGTTATTACATGTCAGGAAATAATGAAAGCATATATACAGAAGGCATTTTAACTACTCTGTAAGCATCTTTATTTAATATACAGAGTTTTGGCTATGGGTTTTGGTTCATATTATGGATGTCCTCATAACACAAACTCTTATGACTGCTGAAGAGACTACTTAATTATCCTGCAAATTATGAACCCCAAGAGTCCGGGTTTTGAACAAGCAATATTCTCAGGATATTCTATGGTGTTATCCTTATTTATATTGCAAGTCATTATTGAAAATTTAAAACACTACAGAAAAGTATTGACTTAGTTTAGTGTGGTTTTAAAATCAATGGTTGTGAGAGCAAAGTAACTACACCTACTCTGAACAGAGGATTGAATGACATGGTGTCCCAACATAAATAACTCCAGTTCTAGCACAACACCATAAAAATGAGGTATTCCACTTAAAAGGATTTCTCTCCCCAATATAAGTATAGATTGGAGTTCTATAAAACTACTTACTCGTATGAAGAGTATTTTATCTCCCAGTCTATAACGTCCCTCTGATAAGTACTCAATTGAAAATCGATGGGAACAACTGCAGGGAGGATCTTCTGCTATATGTTTTACCTAGTTATTAAAATTGAAAGCCTTTGTTAGTATTCTGACAGAAGCATATGTTTAACTGTCTATTGAAACATTTAATACAAGAAAAGATATCGATATCTTCATCCCATAATATAAGAAAATACTAGAATTCTAGCTCCTCATAAGAAAACCTCAGCTACAAAGATTCAAAACACAGAATAAAAGACAGACAAATATTTTAGGTTGCTCCAATCCAATTTTTATGATTTCTTCATTTTCATTATTTTTACTTCTAGTTTTGAGATTTGTCCATAATACTATGCATAGTAGCCTCATTTCCAACCATAACCTTGTAAAAGACAATGTTATAGTCTCTAGAAATTGAAACAAATGCCTGGATCTCTCCTGTGACCAAATCCATTGCTACTGCTGTCCCAGGGCTACTTCAACATTCTCCCTAACATTTTGTTAGGCTTTTGTAAGTTAATCATCTATGAGGCACCCAAAAAGGAAACTATGAAAAAAAGAAGAAAAGTAGTCCCCAAATAAATGCTGGGTTAAAGAAGATGTGCCTCTTGCAGCTGCTTAAAATTGTAACAAATTGGAAGGTCAAGACTACTGCCAAGAAGGACAAATAGTGAGAGTTTTCAGAAAGCACAAGAATCCGGTGGCTGACATTCTCAAGGAAACATTACCACGCAGAGGACCTTTAAAACAAATGAATTTTAAAGACTCAAAATGCATTTTTAAGCAGAATAGGAAAATTGTTCATCATATCTTCTGAACCAATTCACAAGATGTACAAATCAGTTCTTTTTCTGCAGACATCTTCATTTCCAATTGGTACAGCTACAGAGGTTTTATTAAATTCTTTTTTTCAAAAGAGTTTCATCAAAGCCTACTTTAACATTTGATGAACTTTTATGAAAACATCAAATTGAAGAGAAGCATACACTGCAGTCATAGAATATTAACACACCATAAAAACTGAATGAGAGTATTTCTTAAACTCAAATAAGCAATGAAAAGGGAAAAGGGGGAAGGAAATCAAGGTAGGTTATATGCACTGAGGCATTAACTCCAAAACATACAGGACAGGATTTTTATTTCCATTTTCAAAACAAAACAAATTGATGAAATGGGGACATATTCTTTTCTTTTCTATTTAAGAAGGCTCACACATATTAGATGAAAACCAGTCTATGCTTACTGAGTCAGATTGTACAAATATGAAACAGAGTGTGATTTAAAGCCCACATCACACTAAGTAATACTTACAGCCTCATGTAGCTCCCCATGGTGACAACATGACTTTGGTGTGCTAATAGGTGATGGTGGCCCAGAGGTCATCAGCAGTGTTTCTTCTAGCTCAATTTCTTCCTCTAGTTTTACAAGTACGGGAGGTTCAACTCCATACCTAAAATCCCAAAGTAGAGAGCTTATAAAGAAAATAAAAAGAAACTGATGATAACAAACCTGCAAAATTCTAAGTGGCTTGGATGACAAGGAACTGCATGCAATCAAAGGGATAGCTGCCTTGACATCCCAAAGAGAAGGAGCAGTTCTGAGTTTCTAGCAGAAGTCCTCTCTAAGGTGGCCTTCCGTTACCAGAGAACACAGTAAAAATACTGTCAAAACGATACCATTTAGGTCACATCCAATTTAGAGAAACTATCCTAAAGCTTCCAGTTCTGCACTAGAAATAAATGAAGTCTAAACGTAGAGAATAAGGAGATACCTGCCAAAAACTTGAAAACCTAAACCCCTTAAAACCATATTGAATGTTCATTAAGTTTTTCCAAGAGGTACATATACCTATAAGCTGAATGTATCATTTAAACAAACAGCTATAAAAGGCAGTGTGGAACAGCACCTCTCTGTGAAAATCATCTGATAAATATTTGAAAAAATATTCATGTTGCATGATGGTCCTAGAAAAGCTACTCATTACTTTTTGTGCAGAATGAACATCCACTGCATTGCACTTAATGACTGCAGATTGTCCTAACTTTGTCTTCAATTTTACTTAATAGGATGTGTTCTTCCATTTCTTGTTAGGAGCATGTTCAGACCACATACCTGGATACAATGCGCCCAATTTCCAACAGACAAAGATACACTTGTCTTGGATCCTTGTGCAAAACTAAAAGGGAAGAGAATAAAAAGAAGCTATAGTTCATATTTATTGCAGCGAGACCTATGCAATTAGGTACAGAGAAGGGAAGATAAGGTATAGATAGCTATAAATTTCCCATCATTCTACCCAGAAGCAAGTACCATTTCACTGATAAACTGCTATATGCTTTCCAACTCTAATTTTCTATTTCATTAAGCCTTTAAGCCCATCCTGGCACTCCTGAAACCAAACTCTTCTCTATCTCTTAAGGGAAATATGTTTCATTTGGGTTATGTTCTTCCTTCTTGATGTGAACTGGAAAGAAAGAGATCAGAGAGCTCTCTCTTCCCTATCCCCAAACACATTATAGCACTCTTTACAATGAAAAGCATTTAACAACTGCAAATAGGAAATATATATGTGGGAAAATGATACCCATCTGTTCATGCTCATGCATACAGACACAGATTGAGACACACTCTACAGGTTAACATCCATAGGAGGAAAAACTGCGAAGGAACTAGCTGACAAGTGGATGGCTACACAGCCAGTCAGCCTAAGTGGCTAAAACCCTTGGCTATGAAAGAACAATCTGAGTGACTGTTACCATTTCAGTAAGCAACAGATCTTTTCTCTTATCACTTCAAAAGTTCTGTGTGCCAGCAGGGTCCATCTATATGGCAGGTTCATCCAGTTCCACTAGAAGATACCACTTTGTCAGTGGCAGCTCCACTACCCCATGCTTTACCCTCTTTTCACCCCTCCCACCCCATCCACCCAAAAGTTTTCTTCAAAATTTGGTATCTTTGTGAGGCTGTATCTGAAAAGGATGGTCAAAAACGTTAACTGTATGAAGGAGGTTAGAATAGCATTTGTTTAAAAGACAAACACTCAGATTCAAACATCAGATACTGGCTGTGATCACAGAAATGCAGCAACACTCCTTCAGATATGTTAGTAGCACAGTTTTGCACAAGACTTTGCTTCTTGAAGACTGTGCTCACATTAACTCAGCTTCTGGCCAAAGCAGAGGCTGCTTTACAGCACTCGATCATTTAGGCACAGTAAAGGATGATCAGGAGAGCTGAAGAATCAGGTGGAAGAGTAGGTTGAGAGCCAAACAGTGTGAATATGACTGTGACAGTTCTGGGTTTTCTGAAGTACTTTTAAATTAAAACATTCAATTATTTCTACTGCTGCACTGAAGAATGAAAGAGGCAGAAGGAAAATAATATCTGTTTTGGTTCCTTGAATATTCCATCTTTAGGTGTGTAAGAAAAAGAAACAAAGCCATGAAAAGAAATAGAATAGTTTAAAATCTTAACACACAAGTAATTAGTTCCTTTTCTTGTCCCCATACAAGTCTCAAAATTGAGATGCTTTCAACATGCTTCAAGAACAGTTGTACGAATGCTTTAGGAAACAGACCATGCCTGTGCTTTCTTAGCTAACTAGGCATACAGCCTAATAACTGAGAAATCAAAGACTGGGAGAAAGGTCATTCAACTCCTCTTAATCCACACACAGCACCATTCTTTCCCCCACTACCATCAAGTATAAGAAATAAAATGCAGAATATTTATATGAGCAAGTCTGACTTTCTTCACATCATACAGCAACAATAGTCGGTAGAAATTGGAAATTCTGAAGAGAAACCTAATGAGCCAGTTCTATATTTACAGATGAAACATAACAGCTTTCTGATGTTCAATTTGATATTTAAAACTACTTTGCTTTAAATAACATTGAAGTGTTTCCTAAAGTATAAGCTGAATATGAAGTCAGATTTTCTTGTTTACATCATCTACTCCAGTTTGGAAATCTGCTTTTTAAAAGACCTGATTATGAAGGGTAAATCTAGAACAGAAAGTTGACACTGACATAATCTAAAAGCTACTAGAGGTCAATTAATCTCTTCATGGTGTATGTTTGTCTGCTGTAAGAGGCATGTTTTAATTTGCCTGAATCCAAAAGAGAAAAATCCAAATATACTCCTAGCAAAGATCACGACTTTTTTTTTGGCTTAATGTCAAAGGGCATTCCATGTTGGCTACTCTTCTTTTCGGCTGTCTCGGGAGCCTCTTAATTCATTTCCTTCACAGTCATCTACACTTTTCAGGAGGTGTTGCTGTATGAATCTGATGGGAAAAAGACAATTGTCACATTGTCCTTCTACTATTTCACTCATAAAGAATGGCTTGAAAGTCTGATGGAAAACACTAGTGGAAAGAATGTTTCATCAAGGAGGCTGTAAGTCTGCTCATTTCAACTGCCAAAAAGGCTCACAGAGGATATTTATGCCATAAAGCAAGATTGTGTCCAAGAGTTACAATCAGACTTCAAAACACTATGTGGCTATGACTGAAAGCCACAGCATTAGGAAATCCTGTCTGCTTACCTCAGGGAGGCTAAACAGGTTCTAGTTACCCACTTACAGGAACTAAGTTGTTTAAGCAATACAATTCATACAAGGAACTAAAAAAAATTAAATATTAAAACTCATTTTCTTACAGCTCAGTTCTACTCATCTGTATTTCATGGCACTGAAAAAGATGCACTCACTAGTTAAATCAGATAGACACAGGTGCAAATGATGGTGTTTTCTCAACTATTTTAAAAGATGACTTATCTGGTAGAGAAGGCATGGGCAGTCCAACCAGCATATAACTAGCACAAAGACTTCAATTAAATCCACTAAATATTGTGAAAAATTCATTTGATTGCTGAAAACAAAGGTACTTTGCAATTTTTTGCTATTCTGCAGACAATCAGGTGTTCTGCTTATTTAAAAAATTCTAAAAAGAAAAAAATCAAAACAACCAAACCCCCCAGGATTTGGCTTGCCACAGAAAATTTTGTGTTAATTAATTTTTACTGACATAATAGCCGATAGAAGAGCATTTCCTTATTCACCATGAGCTGGAAGTACAGTTCCTCTTCACTAGCAGTCAAACAAATTTTATTCCATCTGTAAGTATCAGTCTAGAAGCTGTTTGTTATAAGAGACCAGCTGTGTACTGGGGCAGGCATACACTTAGCTGGCAACATTTATTTTTATAACCATCGTTTTAAATGGGAAAATACAAAGGGTTCAAAGTCATGTCTAGTAGGTCCTGTAGTAAATGTTCGTTACCAACAGACTGTTGCCACTTCAGGCACAACACCCTGATGCAGTTACCAAATTTAGCTGTCATTAATGCATTATTCTGAGGGATTTCTGCAACAAGAATGAGCTCTGACACCAAATAAAGGATCTTATTGTGAGTTGACTCCATGGCCCTGTGGTCTTCCCGCACAGGGAAAAATGAAACCACAATTTTCTCCTCTTTCTCAGTGGTTCTTTTTACTGAAGAAAAACATGCAAGTTTGTTGCACAGCTGTCCATCCCCCCCTTCATCCCACACAGCAACTTTTAGAAGTTTGGAAAAGTATCACGCAAGTTAGAGCACTCACTGAACTGATTTTTCAAGATTTTTACTTGGACACTGCCTTAAAATAAATAAAAGCATTAATAGCTTGCACAGGACACGCACAGTCAAGAGAAAAGGTTCAAAAAGAGTACATGTGAGAGACCTCCCGGACCAGGTAGTTACCCACATACAGATCAAAGCAAATCTTACAAAAAGAAAGATTTACCTAAACCTTCAGATTCAAAGAGATAAGTCTCATCAACTCCAATGGCCCTACACCAGTTAAGAAAGTTGGCTGTATTATCTCTGGCAAAAAAAGATCCTGATGGAGCATCCTTCTTACATGGAACTTTTCTCATAGGAAAATTCTGGCAAGGGAAGAAAATGAAAAGTACATTGTGCACATCAATACTGCCAAAAGATTTCAAAGCACATTTGCAAAGGAAAACACACCCTAAATTCCGAGTACAGAAACAGTTGTAGCTACTTTGTGTACAACCCACCATGTATTCTATCAAAAAAGCTACACTGACATAAAAGGTATTTCATGTTATCATTGTGAACAGCCACTGTGTGAACAATCCTTAACTTTGCAGCCTCTCCCAAAGCTGTCTGTACAGTTGGTTCCCCATTTCCCCCCATACTGGGGTAGAAGTCTTATTGCTGGTTTCACAGGGCTGGATAATTTTTCCCCCTTCCAGGCTCTGTTCACAGCAGCAGCAGAAGCACAGCAAGAGAACCCCAAATCTACTAACTACACTTAGCTGACAGATTTCAACATTTTAGAGCTTGTTCTACAAAGTGAAAGGATCCATAAGGGAACAAAGAGCAGTTTGCTTTAAAGCAATTCTGTACTATTTGTTTTTAAATTGGTACCTTCAAAACTAAAAAAGTAGTTCAAAATACACAAGCTGTACACTTCATCCTCCTTAAGAAACCCCTAAGGATTTGCTAGGGAGCTGGTGGACAGTGGCTTACACAGTGAAATCCAAACAATTGCTGAGTTTAGCAACAGAACCATGGGAATCACTAATATTAATGCTAACTTGCAACCAGAGTAAGGAAGTCCTGGAGCAGGCTGCCCAGGGAAGTGGTTGAGTCACCATCCCTGGAGGTATTTAATAGACACATTGATGTGGCATTTAGAGACATAGTTTAGGAGTAGACTTGGTAGTGTTAGGTCAGTGGTTGGACTTGGTGGTCTTAAAGGTCTTATCCAACCCAAAAGATTCTAGGATTTGCAGCTTTCATATAGCTCTTGTATAAAAACTATTTGGTATCTCAGGTTACTGTCTTGCACCCCCCAATTAATAATAATTCTAATGTTAGTAATTTTATTACTTACTGGTAAATACACACTATTTAAAGCTGTTGTTTTACAAGATAAAACACTAGAAGTTAAACATTCAAAAAGTTAGTCTAGATATGGTGAAACAGTTCCTCCTGTCCACCAATGCTCTACTATTTGACAAATCCAAGCATTGCATAGCTATTCAGAGTACCTGTACATTCAACAAATGCTACCTGGACCAGTTTTACATGGTTTTGTACTCCAAAGTGACAGAGATTCACATTTCAACACGGCATTAGTTCCCAACAAAATCACCGAAGCCCATCTCCAGGTACATTTCAGTTTGGATATTCTTATGGCTGGCCTATGTACTAGTGTTCAGCCACCAGTTTCTGGCATAAAGCATCCTATCAAATGCCAAAGGATATCTTATTACCAACCCACATACTGATGTCAGGGGAACAAACTCCAGACTTGGCCTAGATTTTCCTCTGGCAAGACTTCTACTGAAATTGAACTAAAAACCTAGTAAGAACCTTAGGATTTGATTAACAAAGCAAGTAATTTATAGCATGAGGCTAGTTTATCTAAAAAAAAGCCACACTCTTGTTAATCAGTCTCTGGATACACAGCATGCAGAACTTGGGAAGCCTTACTCACCTGCTTTCTTTATAACTGTATTTACAATTAAAGAGTTTATATATGTATTTAAATCACAATATCACTCACCCTTAAGTTATTTGAGCTACAGTGTTTTTTAATTGTGTTTTGAAGAACACCAACCAATTGGCAAAGTAGTACCCCATTATCAAGTTCTTCTAGCAGTTGTTCTGGTTTAACTTCTATTCCTTTAAAAAAAGAAGGTCAACATTAGAGTTACTCCACAGAAGGTAAAGAAGTCAAAGCAACTCAAAGGCAACTCAAAGGCAACTCAAAGAGCATTCCAGTGGTAAAGACTGAAAATTATTAGAAATGGAAGACTAAAATGAAATATCCATTTAATTAGATTTTAATTTGACTAACATGACTCAGAACTAGAAATGATTAATTATCCTAAGAGGTGGCATCTAATAAAATCTGAAATCAAAGCATGCATTTTAATGCAATTCTCCCCGCCATTCAGACTCAAATACACCAGATCTTAATCGTACTGTAGATACTGTGTCAGCATTGACTAGAATATTGGAAAGTCCTTTGAAATTCTTTAGACAGTGATTTATTTTTAACCTCACCCAGCAAGCCAGACAGCCAAATTGACAGATCTTCTCGCATAGGCACCAAAGTTGCTTCATGCCGCACAGATATCCATTGGTCATACAGGCACACATCTGCCAAACCTGGCCCATGTCTGGGAGTCAGAGGACTTCTGGGACTCAAGGGAAGGTCATCTCCAAACCACACCTGCAGAAGGTTTCAGTAAGCTGAAGACAGGAAGCTCTGATATTTGCAGTCAGATGACAAAAATTTGTGGTTCTGAATTACACTGAAGAACTAGTATTCAGAGGAAGTGTTCATTTCCCTTCAGACAGGTACACCAAACCAACACAATAACAATCATGAATGGTGCAGCTCTCATTAGTAACTCCTGCATCAAAATACTACTACATTCATTCTCTTGACTTCTTTGCATTTAAAATAACATACTTTCCTGAATATTGAATGAAGAAAACATACATTCAATGTGTGGGGTTTTTTTTCCCCCCAAGCACATTTTAAGTCATGAAATCTGCAGTTTATCATATAATTTACTACAGACTGCTGATTTCTCTGATCAGACATTTTAGAAACATTTTGTGCTTAAATCATTAAAAATTATAACATTACAAGAGGAAACATGCTTCCATGCAAGAACTTCACTAGACTTCTTGAACATGTATCGTTAGCATTTCTCCTTCGGACACCATATTTTAAAAATGAGAGGTAACTTACATTTCAAGAAAAGGCCCACACTGAAATTTCATTTACAAAATTCCCAAAGAGAGTCCTTCTGGTATTCTTAACTACTTTCCTTCAGTTCAGTGCGTATATAAAATACATTTATTTATTTATACTTTACTGATTAACCAGAATATAAGATATTAAAAAGCACCTCTTACTCATGAAGGAAGTTTTTCAACAATCTCAGTCTCTGACTTAAAAACTTTCTTCGGTAACAACACTAAGAAGTGAAAGGATCACTGATCTGATAACGGTGGGTTATCCACCTTGTCACATTGTTCCACTTGGAAAATGGGAAAATTATTATTGTTTTTTCATTAGAGGTAACTCTGGGGAGTCTAGCATTTCCTCTGCTTCAAGGTAGATCTTTGTATTAAAAACCAAAAAAGTATTATACAGGTATACAGGATTCAAACACTACAAAAGGCATTTACCTGAACTGCATTCTGCATGGTCACCTGCATTTACATTAGTTTCTCCTCCTGGGGAAAAATAAGAGATTTTTATTACAGACAGTCTCTACTGCTTTCATGAAAATTCCAAGAAAAACCTACCAGTGCCGTTCTGGAAAAATAAGAACGAGTCTAAGCAGAAATGGAAGGGGGAAAAGGGAAGTATCTTAGTAGCTAAGGTTTTAATCTAGTATTCAGTCAACTTCAGTTCTCCGCCCTTAAAAGAAAAAGGGCTGTTATTACAGCACAAAGTAGTAACTAACTTTGTATGCATTAAAAAACCTCCTCCAAAGCTGTCGTGATTTTAAGGAGTTATATAGCATTTATTTTGCCAAAGGGTAATACAAGTACTTCAAACCATTTTTGGATTCAACAAAGTTGGCATTCATCCTTTCCTTCTAAGCCATCAAAAATGTATCTTGTCCATGTGTGCAGACAGATATATGCATTTTGAATTTATATTAAATACTTTGCAGGTTATAAAAACCTTAAAGCAAGAAAATAATTTTGAAGAATAAGATTTTTCTTACTGAATAATAGAATGGTGTGGGTTGGGATAGACCTTAAAGATCATCTAGTTCTTGCATAGACAGAGAAGAAAAATCAATGTTTTTATTAATTTCTGTCAGAATTGTGACTTTCCAGGCAGCATGCATACACCTAAGTTTTCAACAGAACACTGCAAACCATTGCAGCAATATGGTTATCAGTATAATTCCCTGGCAAAACAAACCTTAAGGAAAGTTTTAAAGGCAATCTGGTCAACACTTTCTCTGCTGAAGCCAACACAGTATTTTCCAGCAATGCTTTCAACGGTTGGAAATTCCAGCACAAGCTCTACACTGGGCTAAGGATTAGTAACTCTCTCCATGGAGGCTGTGGATCTAGAGACGTGCAGCATTACCAGGTTAGCTGCATACACACAATACCAGAAGGTATTTATTTCTCCATCACAATTCTCCACAGTGGTACTGGGGGGGGGCATTACAACTTCAAAAACTATCTATCCGTGTCTTGCAGACAGTTGAAAATTACTTTCTTGCTCTGTTACTTAACAGCTGCAATAAAATTTCATTCTACTGATTCAACTTGAAACCAGACTGCAGTCATTATAACAGATTTTTAACTCATCTGTTTTCTTTAAAAAATAAGAAACTTTCCTCTCCTGTCCCAGATGTTTAAACTGTGTACGTAGATGGCATTCTACTCTCCTCCTGCACAATCTTGCCTTCCTATGACAAAAGGCTAAAAAGCCCATCACAGAAAGCAGAATTCTTATAAAACTTCTCCCCCTTCATCCTACACAGAAAGCAGAACGGTGTCATTTCTTCTCCCTTTTTCCCTCCCACTGCCTTAAACCTCACACACTGCATATGACTGCACCAGTCATTCATCTCAAAGAACTTACCACTATGACCAGCAAATGAGCAAACAGTTTGTTTTCAGGCTGAAGCCACTTCTTGTACCAGGACTGCTAGCACTTCCCAGACTTTATCAGAGACACTCCAAGTGATATCTTTCCCCTTCCGTTTATTTCTAGGGAAGGGGAAAAAAAAAGATTTTAAAAAAAAGAAAGAAGAGACATCCTCTCCTTGATGTCATTTTTCCTTCTATGAATGAACAAGGGAAGGGCAGGGTATATACCAAGCATTACTAACGAGCATGTTATGCTTCCCACAGCTTTGTCCAGGGGAATACATTTTCCTTTGGCATAAGAAAGCTATTGTCCCAAGAGAAGCTCAGTAAGAGGCTTCATTGATTAAAAAAATTAATAAAACAACAGCAGAACAGCCAGTAGAGAAGTTGGTCTCATTAAAATAAGGAGTTCCATATAGGCTAACAAGAGCTCTAGCATATTAACTGCCAAGGGAAAACAAAAGGCAGCCTAATTCACAGGGAGTACTCAAAACATGAACAAAGCAAAATATTCACACAGCAGTTATCACAAGAATGCTCAGCATCTGCAGTTTTGTGGCATGCCAAACAAAAACTAGCCTTACCAAAAAAAAAAAAAAAAAAAAGGAAAAAAGAAGAGATTGAGGAGATTTGTGGCACTTGAACTTCAAGGGCCTAAGCTGCTGAAACAAGTTCTTTTGTAAGCCCATATGCCAAAGGGTTCCCTAGAAAGTCAAATGGTTTCACTTATTATCAGGACATCTGAATAACACTTAACAAAATCCCCCTCTGATTATGCAGACTATCCTGTGCAAATTTTGAGTCAAAAAAGTAATATAGTAACAATTACCCGTTTTCAGATCATGAACAGTTCAGCCCTGAGACTGCACTGAATACAGATTAGTGTAGCCTTATCACTTACTGGGAGAGGCATAGGATGAGAAGACCCAGAGGTCTGTCAGCTTCAAGTAGTCAGCCTGCAAAGGTGCAGAAGGTGCTGTGGTGAGGCGAATACTGCAGTACGAGGTAGTCATAACCAAATTTGACTGCTGAAACCAGTTGGGTTCCCTGCATCAGAAACCTGTGCACAATGAATGAAGTAAGAGGTTGATAGTGAATTCTGGCAGCTCCACCTAGAACTGTATCTGTTTCCACACTTGCCAGTTTTATTAACTCACTTTCACTCAACAGGCATTTTGTGTCCAGGGATCAGAGTTAGTGAAAGAAAAGGCCTTGGGATGAAAAGACACCATAACATGTCCTCTGCATAGCTTCAGGTCATGCCATTCCCATTTCCAGGCCAGCTGATACCCCCAAGGTCCCTTGGGACAAAAGACTGAAGAAGCCCATCACAGCAGAAACAGTTCTTTTAATAATTCTCCCTCTTTCTGGGCAGAGAATACTCTTTCTAGTGTTGTTTCCTCCCCATTTTTCTCTCCCTGTTTCATCCCTTAAAACTGGGGAAACACCAGAAACTTGCAAGCACTTACCAATCAGGGGACAACCAGGCCAGCTCCAAGCTCAGCAAATGTAGAAGTTCCCCACTACCAAACCCACTCTCGGAAAATACCTCATTTCTGCTGGCACTTCTGCTGCCAACAGCTCCATGGGACGGAAGGAGAGGAGAAATGTCACCTAGCTGCACTTTACAGATGAATCAATACAGCAACACTGATTTACTGTGACACGAGTGGTCAGCCTCAAATGATATATTGGGAAAGACAAGAGCTGCCTTTGGCTGTCTGACTACCAAACCTCCAATGAAGGACTAGAGCTATGCATCAACATTAGATAAGAGAGATGAAAAAAACATGCTTATTTATTGATGTGTGGCATAGGCACAGGCATTCCTCAGAAAAGAGGGTGCAGTCCCAGTCTGGACATGACCCACACAGGCTTGTGAGACCATATCTGCCTCGGCTCTCCAGAGGGATGCCCACCACTTTGCCCCCAGGCAATCTGAGAAACAGTAAAGTCAGCAAATACTAAAGCACTTTATGTAAATACTTCAGGGTGCTAAACACATGTTCTTAGACACTACACAAGATAGCCTGCTTAGTATCAGTTTTATCAGGATTTATAGATCACTCACTGGGGCATAACCAGCAAGACATGCTACACTAATTGCAACCCATTCTGTAGCACAAGATGAACCAAGTCCAAGTTCCATTTTACTTGACTGCACAGTTTACAAAGAAAGAAAGAAACAAACAAAAATCCACAACTCCACAGACAGCTAAAACATTGATGAAACAATCATTGACCTAGCTTAAGTGGAACCTAAATGGATTCACAGGCTCATTAAAATGCCTTGGGTTAAAAGGCTCATAAAAAAAAAACTCAAGTAGAAACACTTTTATATTTTTACCCTATATTTAAGATATATTACACAAAATCTTCTATTCCATCAACACCCAAAGGCCGTCACAACAGACTAACCCAGAAGCTGGAAACTGTAGATTAGCCTTGACAGTGCCTACTGAAACCTGTGTTTTTAAACGTGCTGAAATGAATGAAGCTGCCATGTCAGTATCTGTCAAAACCTACTACAGGATAGTCAATTTTTTTTTTGGTACACATATGCTAACATGCAGAAGAGGTAGGCACAAGAGACATCCACTGAATGGAGTGCTGCTCTCTCCATCACTACAGCAATTACGGAGCCTTTTTGTTGCATTACTGAGTCAGCAGGAGCTCTGCTTCCTTGGGGAGGCCTCAGAGGCATGAAAGAGAAAGAACCAGACTAGTCAGTCCAAGGTGATGGGCTTTAAGGTGGCAACCAACTCCTTACAGTAAGGCATGCTGACTGCTTTCCTCAGGGACTGCCTTTCCACACCTCTCCATGAAGTGCACAGGAGCAGCAGCAGCGAGCACATTCTGCCCTTCCAAATGGTGACAGAGGCCCTGGATACACCTGTCAGGGCAGAGAAACCCACTTGAAATCAGGGAGGAGCACTTCATCTCAACAGCTGGCATCTCCACAGGAGACGTGCAGACGGCTCCTTTACCACAGGACCATCCAGTTCGGGGAGAGGCTGGTTAACACGAGACACACTACCCCAGCCACTCACTCACCTTCACAGACAAGCTCTGCTCTCCCTCCCATTTCCACTTCACACTTCTTCCAGCAAAGCAACACAGAGGGAAACACCGCTCGATGCCCAGACAGCAGGCTGGTGGCTGGCCACAGTCAGGAAGAGTTTATTATGACATAAATATAAAATCCTGTCTTATTATGAAAGATCCACCCAGTACACAATTACAAATGCATTGGCCAGTTATGCCTCATAGCTCCTAAAGGAATACATGTACTTATCCCCATGTCTTGATCTGATACTATGCCAAAGGTGACACATAGCATCCCTGGAACACAGCCAGCTTTTGGGCAAAGAAAGGAGCCAGACACTTTACAGCTTATTAAGCAACATGAACGAGTGTTTTAGCCAAGAGCACTAGGGCAGATTTCCTACAGAAACAGCACTGCATCCTCAAACGCCCGCGTGGGGCACAGGAGAGACTGGTTTGAAGGCTGTTATGCAAAACTTCTCCCATCTCCCTTCCTCAGGGTAAGTTTCGCGGCACTTCCCTGTCAATATCCGTGTCAGAGACGCCGGATG